TTGCAGCTCGCAGAAGGGAAGCATTGTCTCAGGGTCTAATCTCATTATGGCGTGAAATCGCTCAGGGTTTGGGGGAAACTGTGTGGTGCCCTGAAGTGGGTGCCGTGGCTGTGAACCATGCCGAAAACCCAGCAGAGTATCTGTCTTAGGACAGCACACTGAAAATTCTCCTGCAGTTAGTACACAGGGTTGACTGCCCCCCCACCCGTCCCCCTCTTTCCATTGCCTGTTTTTTAGTTAGCATTTTAATTAAGCAGACTATCAATAATCATTTCAAAAGCTTCCTGATGGGCACTGGCACTTTGAAGTTCCATAAACAGTTACATAATGCATGCAAGCATAATAGGGAAAATTAGAGAAAATTGACAATTCGCAATAATGGAAGGGCCTTTGATGGCGGTTAAGGGGTGTGCCTCTGACCTTTAACCTGCTCCACAGGAACAAAACCCCCACTGTCTCACCTGAAAGCCTCATCTCCACTCGAGCGGTGTTCTGTAGGCGTCTGTCGGTTAGGGTCTACCTTCCACACGTTGTTTCCACCCTAAGCTTGGAGCTGAAGGAGTGATGCTGAGATTCTGAGGCAGGTGTAACCCAGCTAGCCATCAACGCGACCCTCGCTATCAGAGTGCATCCCGACGCTATCTGCGTCTATGCCATAGACACAAAGGTTTAAGGCCTGGATGTCAGGTTGTAGATGTCTGTCTCTGTGCGCCGTAGTCATCCTCGCACAAGCTCTGTTTATCCTGCTCCAAGCAAGTGTCACTTTACCTTCCTGTAATCGGAAGGTCGCCAGTTTGAATCCTACAGCTGACAGAGTGAGATCACCATTAGGCCTTTGAGCAGGACTTTAGGTGTGCTAAATAAATAAAATGTCATATTCAAAACCAGCAGTTAGACTCAGTGCTGCTTATCAGCACAGAGAAGTGTAAACAGAATTCAAGTATAGTCCAATGAACGGGATGGGGGGAGGTTTAAAAGATGAATAAAGAATGATAACAGTGTGTTTAAAATGTCTGGGTGTATGTAGACCGGAGCTACTTAATGTTGAACTTTGTGCATTTAAACCCTGTTATTCTGTATGAATGCCCTGTGTGGGCAGGAAAGCATCAATACTGAATTTGAAAAGGTTTATTTTAACAAAACTTTCATATGAATTAAACACAGTGCGCCAACATTGTTGCTTGATGAACCAAACTTTTAATGACATGGTATTCATATTTTAATATTATGCATAATTCCCATAGAAGCTCACCAAACTCCCTTACATAAATCTTTCCTTGATTATTGAATGCTCTAGATAATTAATGCAGTGATAGATTTATTTAGACGACGTGTACCTTTTGGGTCAGAGCATGATGGAGAAACATTAAGCTCCTTTAGCTGTAGCACGAGAGGGTGCGTCCTGAAGAGAGCATGTCGCTAATGTACAGTATAGCAACAGCGCTCTCAAGATCTATCTTTTGCAGGAACATCTTAACTAACTCATTCTACCACTGACCAGCTCTCTGTCTTCATTGGCTATTCCTCGGTTATGGTCTCCTGGCAACCCAGGATGCTCTTTCCTTGAATTTTGCACTTGTCCTCATGGGGTTTTTGGGCTGACGGGCTTTTTTTGATGTTAGGTTCGAACGGTGTTTTGTGCGGCTCTTGCTCCTCTGCTAACTCGCTCGTGTTCCTGGTTTCTCACTGGAAGCTCAGCCTAGCAGCACTTGTACCTAAATTGACTCCCTCACAGCAGTACGCCTGCGATGTATTATCTATCTCACAACAAAGCATCTGCTAAATAAATAAATGTAAATGCTTTGTACACCAAGAGGGAATTTATGCTTATCTGCTTGGCACAGTGGCACTGCTGTATCGCACTGCATAGCTTACTGCAGTTAGACTCATTGCTAATCACCAGATTTGTGTTTAGTGCTTGATATGGGTGTGCAGTTCAGTGACAATTCATGTATCTGTTATCATCTAAGAAAGAGTAGATGGGTTGCTCACATGCAAAGCTTAAACTTATGCTCCCGGTGAGGCTCGAACTCACAACCTCGGCATCGCTCCGCCGGGCACTGCCGTATAAGTACCGCGCGCTAACCGATTGCGCCACAGGAGCCGCTACAGGGAACCGGGGACGATGGCGACACAGGAAGCAAGCTTGGATTCTCTGGTTTGAGGCAATCAATTCACTTCAAGCTTCAGATCCCAGGAAACGTGGAAGTGGATCTGTTCCTGAATCCTTGCTATCAGAATTCTGGTGACTTTCAGTATGCAGCTTCAGTGCTGGTAGCTCTGGGTACTTGCAGGGTCCCTCTGGTTACTGCGTCCGTGCCAGGAGGGTGCAGATATCTATGCTGGGGAGGTGGATGTCCTGGTCGTCCTTGCTCCTGCCGCTTGGCGTTTTTTGCTCTGCCCCCCCCCCCCCAGTTGTCAGCTAGCCAGAGCCCCCCCTTGACGTGCGTATCCGCTTCCTGCCGGTGGGGGCAGGGGTTTTCCCTTTGGGAAGCTCAGATCCTCACACCCTCCTCCACACGGGCCAAGCATCGAAATCTATATCTGCTGGCTTATATTTGAGTACAGACTCGGGGCTGGGTGCTGGGTGCTGGGTGCTGGGTGCCATCACTCAAACCGAGCATCTGTTTGGGGCCCTCAATGGTTGGGGCCCCTGTTGTGCACAAACAGTCACTAAACTAGGGGACAGGGGACCGAAAAGTCACTTTTTTCTTGGGATCCCAGAAACAACAAACCTCCCCCTGGTCAGGTGAGACCATTCAATGACACACATGTTAAATAAATGATCAGCTTGAGTGTGGACATGAGAGCCCCCCTGGCTGGAGGGTGGGGGGACTGCTTTGTTGTCAAGGGCAAGGAAACATGCTTTTTTTGGCAGGGACACCCAACTCGATCGCCTTATACAGACACGCTCATAAGTGAAGGCCTGATACTGAAATGCTGAAATGGAAACCCCAGCAGGAAGGTGGCCTGAGCCCCGTTCAGGGGATGAAAAGACGCAGGTGGGGACAATTAGAGCATCGCCTGGCATGCAAATGACCAGAGAGCCCATCGCTTTGCTCATATGTTGCGTATTTCTAAAAAAAATGGCTTTCACGTACATGGTTTTAACTGGCACATATGCAAAATCAATGTTTCAATTTAAAACTCGTCAATATTAATCACTTAATAATGTGAATTTATTGTACATTTCTGACATCCATCCATCCATCCATCCATCCATCTCCGGAATGCTTACCCTGAGCAGAATTGGGGGCAGGAGCCCATTTCTGATAGCATGGCGCAGGGCTGGGGTTCATCCCCCCCATGGTGATACTGTGCTCCTAACAGCGGTATAAAATTGCATAATGACGTCCACAGTCTGGCAGCCATTGAAACACCTTGATTTTCTAAGTGCCCTGTGACAGTCACGCTGAGGAAAGGTCTTTGAGAAATGAAGGTCTGATGGAAATGAAGTGAAGCCTTAAGATGAGGCTTTAATAGAAACTACGGGCACGGCGAGCGTATCAGCGGTCACTGTGAACGGTGTCTCCGCGGCCATAAGAGGCGATGGGGCCGGGAACCAACGGGGGGGTTTCTCGGTTTAGCTTGATGCAAAAAAAAAGGTACTAGAGCTTAGTGAGTGGATGATTTCCACAGAGAAACAGCTCACGCATCAAATAAAACCATTGAGTGCTAAAGGGGGGGGGGGAGTGGCTTAATTTCACCTGCCATTATGTGACGCCCATTCGGTAGTGGGGCGTTCTGGTCGGGAGTGTCAGATGAGGATGTTCCGCATAATTATTAGGAGGAAACTGACAGCAAAATCTCAGGCAAAAATGGAAGTTATTCACTGACCCCCCACTTCACAGAAAGAGTCCTCAATACGATGTGTATGAATACACAAATTGTCATATGTCCCTGTATTTATAGACCTTGTCTATGCCTAGTGTATATGCTTTATTGCTGGCTGGTGAGCTGCTGAATGATATTTTGTTGCTCTACATAAAACCGTCTGATCACAGGTATTTAAAACATGCTGCTATTGTTCTTTATATTTTTTTAACGTAACCCCCTGTTCACTGAACTATACTTTTTCTGTTACTCATATACGTACTGGTGAGCAGCATTGAGCCTATCTGCTGGTTTTGAATATTACGTCTTGGTTATATAACACACTTTTATTGGAATCAACGTGCATTTTTGAGAACACAGGGACAGACAGTCCCTGGAGCAATCGGGCCTTGCTTAGGGGCACAATGGTGAACTCACTTTGCCATCACGGGGACTTAAACTAGCAACCATCTGATCACAGACACAGTGGCAGAACCCATTGAACCACACACTGCCCCCCTGTTTGTAATATTTTATCTGCCTCCGGCACAGAAGAGCATCGATGTGAATGATCAGCAGAGAGAAACGATTATGAGACATAACCAAGGGGGTGGGGGGGGGGTATCTGTTTCTTTGGTTTCTGGCGCGTGACTCCGTGCCGGGCGGCTAATGTGGCCTTCAGGCCAAGTCAGGCTGTTATTTAGCGTGGTGACTCAGGGGTCCCGCTGCGATGCAGTCAGCTGGACCGGCAGAGGGTGCTTGGAGAGGACAGGGTCCGCAGGCGATGGGAGAAGCCTCCGGTACCGCAACACACCAAAGCCATCGTTAAGTGTGAGATGTGGCCAGCTGCCGGTGGTCTGGGGGGGGGGGGCACAGACTTGTGGTCTGAGCACAGGCTCAGTCACCCATCTATCCAGCTTCCCTGGAGCATTTATCAGGGACTCATCTGTTTTGCATGGGATTCAAACTGATGACCTGCTGATCACAGGCAGAGAGTAACTGAGTGTGTGTTTGCTGGATCAGAGCTCCTCCTCCTTGCCACCCAAGTCCCTAGCACCTTGTGGCAGGATGGCCTCATTGGCTGAGAGCCCCCTGTCCCCCGCGGCCGTGGCCCGCGACCTGCAGCCCTTCCCGCGCCTTACCATTAGGTGGCTGTGTTCTCATCGGCCCTCTGCACTTCCTTTCAGGGGCATTGCGGGGAAGAAGTGCGGAACGATCATCCTGTCTGCCGAGGAGCTGAGCAACTGCAGGGTGAGTGGGGCCAGCTGCACGGCCCTGTCTGTGCAGTGACTCAACGCAGCCCTGAACACGGGCTGGCAGCTGTGTGCTCATGTGAGAGCTACGGCCGCATGTCTCAATAGGTTTGCTAGTCACCAGCTATGGGCCTGGCGTGCATGTCTGTCTGTATCTGTGTGTGTGTGCCTGTGTGTGTGTGTGTGTGTGCCTGTTTATCTGTGTGTCTGTGAATATCTGTGTGTATGTGTATCTGTGAGTGTGTTCATCTGTGCTTGTGTAACTTTATCTGTGTATCTTTGTCTGTGTTTGTGTATCTCTGTGTGTATGTGTCTGTTTGTGTATCTGTATCTGTATTTATCTATGTCTGTGTATCTGTGTGTATATGTGTTTGTCTGTGTGAATATGGGTGTCTGTGTTTATCTGTGTGTGTCTGTGTTTGTGTGTGTGTGTGTGTCTGTGTTTATCTGTGTATGTCTCTGTTTATCTGTGTGTGAATCTGTGTGTGTCTGTGTTTTTCTGTGTGTGAATCTGAGTGTGTCTGTGTTTCTCTGTGTGTGAATCTGTGTGTGTCTGTGTTTTTCTGTGTGTGAATCTGTGTGTGTCTGTTTTTCTTTGTGTGAATCTGAGTGTGTCTGTGTTTCTCTGTGTGTGAATCTGTGTGTCTGTGTTTTTCTGTGTGTGAATCTGAGTGTGTCTGTGTTTCTCTGTGTGTGTCTGTGTTTTTCTGTGTGTGAATCTGAGTGTGTCTGTGTTTCTCTGTGTGTGTCTGTGTTTTTCTGTGTGTGAATCTGAGTGTGTCTGTGTTTTTCTGTGTGTGTCTCGGCAGGTGCGTGGCTGCTTTCTGGTGACTCAGCATATTTCTTGGCACTGCCTTTATTACCCAGCCAGTGCTGTGCTCCTGTCCTTCCCATAGATTACATTATTCTTTGCCCTTTGATCTGCTGGCTGATTAATTATTCACTCATTGAGCTCTGCACTCGTACACTTTGGGTAAGCTAGAGCACATGAAAATTCAGTCAAGCTAAACAAAATTTTCCAATATAGCCTCTATTTTAATGTTACAGAACATCTTTATACCTGCACTATTAATGAAGAATATTAAGTATACACTATATAATTGAGCTTATACATCTTGCAGTTTTACATTCTGAATCACATGCATTAGTAGGTGTGAGAATTTTGTTGTTATGTGTTGAATTGCCTCCTCTCTCTCTAAAAGTTTTTTTGGTTATAAAGGATTTAATTTGAAAAAGTTCTCCAGTCAGCTGTAATTGCTTAATTGAAATACCTTTCCAATGTCTGGTATTGTAGTGATGTTCAGGAAAAACCTGCTGGACATCTGGCAAGGGACTCGTCAAGCCAAGTCTCACAGATTGTGTAATGAGTGAATTTGCCGTGTCAGGGATCCTGAGGTTCTGGGGGCAGACAGAGGCTTCATAGAGTGTTTTTGTTCTCAGTTTTTTTTTTTTTTGGAAAAAGGAGATGAAACGAGAGAACCAGAGCAGGTGACAGCATCTTCACAGCGATGTAAGAACACTCTCGCATGAGGTGCAGCCCCAGCCTCGCCTGCCAGATGGCGGCTTGTGTAAGCGGTCGGGTCCTGGGGGGGCGCTTTGAGGCTAGATGGGGCTGCCACTGATGCTTTGCTTTTCCTGTCTCTGTTTCCCATGAACAATTATCTGCTTCCCCCGAAAATCTCAGGCTCTCCTACACAAAACCTCAAAAGCTTACATTAGTGCTCTTCGCCTGCCCTTTGTGGTCTTCTGAACACTGTTCCCCCCAAAAGATTACACCTCATTTGTTTACAGCAGCTGGCTGGGGCTGTCATCTTAGGCCCCAGTCCAGCCAGAACCCAAATGTTACTCCACAGCACTAAACATTCTACTGTAACTCTACAGCTAACTTCTCCTGCATGGACCCCAATATTTTCCATTCCCTTCACAGCAGACTGCCCGGTACCTGGAGGTTTTATGCTTTTTTTGATTAAGGTCCGTTTTACTCCCTCTAGCCTGATGCAGTTCTGTACCCACAAGTCCTATGTCTACATCTCCAAATGTTCACTTGTGTTCTCTAGGAAATATGTTTTATTGTTCTGTTGCTGAAGGAATTGATGAGATTGGCATACAGGTACGACTGAGAAGTGACAGCTCTGAAATACCAGATAGCAGGGGGTAGTATTTTCAAAGGCAAACATCAGGTTATTGGTTTGAATCCTAGGCACAGAAATGGAATGATGTGTAATACGTAGCCATATAGTGAACATGAGGAATGGTATAGATATAATGCTTGATGACCACTTAATGGTGTGGGGGGCATGTGGCTCAATGGGCTTAGAGGCTGTGCCTGTGATCAGAAGGCTGCTGGTTCAGTCTCTGGGTTGGTAGAGAGATTTCACTGTCGGGCTCCTGAGCAAGGCCCTTAATCCCCATTTGCTCCAGGGTCTGTTTGACCCTGCTTTCCCAGTTGTACACTGGTTTGCATTAAGCATCTGCCAAATAAAGGCACAAATGTAAAGAGGTCTTAGCAGGTCACAAAGGCTGAGGTACCGTGTGTGTAATTGTATCAGAGCTTTGTTTGGATGATACCCTGGGTGACAGGCTGCAGTCGCTGTACTGTATGTAGGCGCCATGTCTGCTTTTCTTTCTCCCCCTGGCAAAACGACAATCCTTTGTTTTCCCCGGTGTCCTGCCGGTCTGCTGGAAATCCCCCGAGTCGCGTGGTTCCGTTCCCGGAATCTCCCACGCTTTTCCACGGAGTACGATCTAAATACAGTGATTTCCCATGCCACGAGTCCCTGCCTTTATTCAGAATTATTTGAATGTATTAGAATGGTGACACCAGAGGCGTCGCCGTGGAACCTTTCCCAGAGATTTCCGTGCCTCATAAAGCAGCACGTTTCCCTGGGTGGTGTGTGATGTGCCGTTTAAAGCCGGTGAGCATGTGGGATCAGAGCCCTGTGAGCCACGGCTGATCAGTTCATCCCTCTATAGCTCATGGCTTTGAGAGTACAGTACAGGGCATCAGACAGCCTGCCACCCGGCCCACCCCTGTAACTGCGGGAATCTGTGTAACTCCCCGTAGGGCCATAATAAATTTGCAAAATAGATGAAAACAAGCACCTACTGGTTGTAAATGACTCATGATTAAGCGCGGAGGTGCACTGTGCTTTTAACACGCCTCAGTGAATCCAGGCTTGGGTATATATGAGGAATGCTGTGCGCTAACATGACCCGGATGCATCTACATGCACAGCAAGCCCACACGTGTGAATCCACACACATGCGCGCCTTTATCTGTACACGTGTTTTCTCTGACGAGCGATGTGATGTTCCTCATCAGCTCAGATCAAAATTCCTCCCCTGATGGTATGCCCCCCAGCCCCCATCCTCCTGCCCCCCCCCCTCCATGAAATGGAGGGGTTTGTGAGGCTCCGTCTCTCTGTCGGTCTCTAATCTGCTCTCATCCGTGCGCTGCCTTCTATTCCTCCCACTTCTGCCTGTCTCTCTGTTCTCCGCTAACGAGGTCTGACTCCCCGAATGTGGGGCGGCGGAGAGTCTAGAGACTGTAACTTCATGTCTAAAGTTTTAAGATAAGATAGGATAAACTTTATTGATCCCAGGGGGAAATTCGGTATAGATTTGCCCAAGCTGAGGCTCAAACACAGCTTCCACATCGGAAGCTGATCTCTAAGCAGCTGGGTTCTCCAGCAGAATTTTTTCTGCCTCTCTTCCCTGTTTCGCTGTAATACTTTTAAAATTTTTGACCCTTTCTCTTCACTAATTTGCATGTTAATTTACTGTATAAACTATCAGTCCCCAATTTAAATGTTTTTACAGCAGTGAAATGCAATGACTGGCATTTTGGCAGGACGCCTCTTGGGACCCCAACCTCATGACAGGAAGCCGCTGGATTTACTGTAGCAGCTCAGCCTCCTTTTAAAGCTTCAGCTTCGTATGGCATTGGGGTGTGACTCGCATGCTGGGATATCGATGTAGCTCGCCCTGGGGAGAGCGGCCGTCCCATGCGGAGCTACAGAAAGCCTGCTGTGAAAAAGTCAGGCGAGGGCTGTCAGAGCCAACGGCCAGTCTGCAGGTGCGCGATCAAGCCCTCTGTGTCGCAGGCTTGTCTGTGTCCGATAAAGCACCAGGAGCCATTATACAGCCCCCCACAGCACCCCCCGAGCTCCATTAATGTCCCTTTAATCGCTTCCAAATCTCCGGCCCCTTCGCCCGCGGCCCTGAAACGCTCGAGGCAGTGGCTAGGTGCCCACCCTACACAATCATAGGACATCCGCTTCGGCGAGATTAGCTGTGCCGAAATCAGTGTGGTGTGGGCAAGCCGCCAACCTGCGTGATGGAGTGTCCTGCAGGACACACAGCAGGCGGCCAGTGTTGGTGCACCTGATATACCGCGGACGGCCTGCATAGGCGATATGCGGACTCCAGAGGCAGGAGGAATTCTGCGGTATCATTAGCCACGGTTACGTAACGCTCTGTGAGATATACTGTACCGCCACCTTTGCTCTAAAGTAACTACACTGCCGGCTTCAGATGAACTTTATAAATGCTACAAATTGCTCATCCTGCCAGCCACCACACGCACACACAGACGCTCACACACGCAGATGCACACACGCAGACACACACATGCAGGCACAGAGACAAACACACATACACACACACACACAAACAAACACATATACACACACACACACAAATGCTCACACACACATGTGTAGACGCACATACAAAGACACACAAGTAGACACACACACACACACACACACACATACACACACACACACACACACACACACATGAACAGACACACATGCAGACACAGACACACACACACACACACCCCTTTTTTTAAACATTCCCATTCACGGTGTAATACTGTAAATCACAACCCGCATCACTGCGAGTTGTATGTCACGCTTGACCGTCTTCTGAAGTCTGGAATCAGCAATATGCCGTGTGTGTTTTCAGTGATACAAGTGCTTTATTTACATATAA